TTATAATGAAATTGTATTAGAGATTGTAACTAGTGATGTCTGATGAAATAACGAACCAATAAAACTATAAGTTTCATCACGTTTCATCAATAATAAAACTTGACGAAACTTACGGTTTCATCATTTCGTCAGGCATCACTAATTGTGCTTATTAAAAATTTTTTTTTCTTAGATATGATTAAATTATCCAAGTTATATAAATATAGTTTACCATTTAACACTATCTATAGTACCGGAGTAATTGAAGAATATTTATAAAGAAGGTAATAAATTAATATACCATACAGCGCGGACGATTGACCCTCCACATCAAAGTACACTCTATAAAATTTTTTCGATACTTTATAGAGTGAAATACCCAGGTACTAACTTGGATTTTAGCTGTGGATTTTATCGTATCTGGGGTACTATAGTCCACGCTATATGGTAGTTATATCTAGAGATAGCATGTGATTTAAATTACGATAATATAAATCACTGATTTTTATTTTAAATCAAGATATAACTTTTGTAGAATACTACGTTATGTTGTATCGGAGGTTCTGTGGATATAAAAATCATATTCAAAGTTAGAATTTGAATATAAATAATTGAATCACGTAAAAAAGATCAGATACACTTGTAAATCATTTTTAAATCACACAAAATTTGATTTAAATCATGATTTTTGCCATTTCTAGTTATACCCCAGAATCTTTTTCAAGAAAAAAACCAGTAAAATATGATTAATGTTCGGGTTCTAATCACAAGAATATTAGTACTAAACAATAGATTACAACTCTATTTAATACTAATATAATTATAAAATATTAAAATAATAAAAATTACACTTGCATATTAAACGTAATAAATGCGGCCAGAATTTCAAATTCAAAGGTAAGTGAAGGATTTTTAAAAATTGATATTAGTTTTTGAACCACTTTGCCTTCATTATTAATTGTTTCTTCATTTAGTTAGAAATTTTTTAATTGGAAAAGTGTTTGTTGATCCAAAAAATAAAGTTGAACCAGAAGTTCCATCTTGTTTTGTCCAAAAAAGGAGATAACATCAATGATTCGGGATTTTGTGTATTAAGAAAAGAAATCTATCTTCTTTTGTATATATTGTTATGCGTAAAAGATGCCTTAATATTCATAACTGTTTCATCTAAAAATTTGAAATCTTTATAGTCGACCCAGGTTTCACTGACTAAATTTAATATATGCGCCAAACAACGATTATATTTCATTTGACATATTAAGGGTGATAAAATGCTAAATGCCTTGATCATATAAGAAGCATTATCAGATATAAAAAAATAATATCTTCGAATGAGATATTATAAAATTGAAGAGTTTTTAATACTAATTGTGTGATCGTTGTACTATTAATAGCGGTTAAACGTTCAGTTTTAACAAGTTTAGTTTTATTATAGAAACTAAATAATATATTAACCGCCGCTCTTCCACAGATATCAGGTGACCCGTCGACGGTAATAGAAATTCGTTTTTCAATTAAAAGCTGTTTTAAGTTTTCTATTTCTGAATTGTACGCAATAGGTAAATATTTGTCTCATAGTTGAGAAGATTTGACAATAGAACCACCTATAATAGTAATTAATTTAATATTTTATGTTACATAGCAGGTTTAAACTAAATATCCCGAAACTAATCTGGCTATAATAAATTTTTATTATAACCAAATTAGTTTCGGGTTTATTTTGTTTATTTTTTTAAGTATGCTTACCATTTTTACAATACTTTAATAAGAATAGTTTAAGCTTATCTATTTTTTCGAGTGAGATATTAGCCTGTGTTAAGGCATAAACTAAGTCTATATTAATTATTTTATGTTCTTCTTGGGACGTAGAAGTGGGTTGATTTGTTTCTTGAGGAGTTTTTTTTTTATATTTGTTTGCTTTATGTTTGCTGGTATTTAGATGTTGGTCAAGTAAAAACTTATTTTTATGATTTATGATATATTTACAAAAAGTACAAATTAAATTTTCGCCATCAACGTAGCAGTTTTTTTTGTACTTTTCATTTTCATTAATACGATCGCTTGGAGTAATCATTTTTAAAATTGAAAATTAAGAACATAAAATGAATTCGTATGCTTTTCTTGATCTTTATTTAATTTTTGAAGCTAATATTATTGATTTTTCAATATTAGAAGCGAAACTAATTTCAGATAGTTTCGACTTTTTGGCACTAAAAGCGAAGCTAATTTTGGGTTTTTTAAAACTTATATTATTGATTTTTCAATATTATGAGCGAAACTAATTTCTGATTATTTTGACTTTTTAGAACTTAATAACGAAGCTAATTTTGGATATTTACAAGCTTACATTATTGATTTTTCAATATTATGAGCGAAGAAAGTTTTGATCTTTTAGTACTAAAAGCGAAACTAATTTTGGATAGATTTGGTATATATAAATATTAATGCTTTCTTTTGGCAAAGAATTTAAGTGAAAATATTATAATCTTTATTTAGTAAAATTTAAATTTAAATATTATATATCATATAAATCGCAGTTATTTGACATTAGTTTTGCTTGTAAGATTACTTTTAAGAAGCTTCATAAAAATATTTACTTGGACTTATCATTAAACTGCGACACATATGTGCACATATGATTTGCATAAAATGTGACCACATATGCACATATATTCACATCACATATTTCTGGCTACTCTAATGACTAGTTATAATTTTTAAATTGGTATATTAGGTATGCTCTTCTAATAAGCTTCCAAATTAGTATATCTACAAATACAATCTACTACAAGTTCTCTTATAGATTCTATTAGTATAATCATAATTAGTGCAGATAGTCTTTTTATAGCCTGTATCTTAATTCAAAAACTTGCTGTTTGGTTAGATTTATTATATAATCAAGTTGGTATTTTACTAATAGATTAGAACTTATCTTGGTTTTATATTAACTAGAACTAGTTTGCATTCTTTTATTTTTATAAATATCTAACTCTTTTACTTATATGCTTAGATACTACTAACCTATATTTCAAGTTAAGTTTTTGCTACTACTGCTAGTTATCTATTTTGTTAATACTTCTGATTATCTTTTAATTAAATAATAAGTATAGTATATAAAGCATTATTAAAAGAATATAAATATATTAAAAAAAATAAAGTTAATAGAGAAAGAAAATAAAATTCAATCTTCACAAAGCCTTTAAAGCTTACTAGTTGTTCTTGTTATTAAGAAAAATAGAAAATTAAGATTTTGTATTGATTACAGAAAATTTAATAATTTAATAAAAAAAATATATATTCACTATTTTAAATAGATAAAATGCTAGATATATTAAGAAAAGCAAAATAGTTTATATCATTAGATCTAACTTCTAAATATTGGCAAGTACAAGTAAAAAAAGAAGACAAAGAGAAAACAATCTTTATAACTAAATTTGAACTATATGAATTCAATATTATACTATTTGGTTTATATAATACATTAGCAATATTTTAATAGTTAATATAAAAATTTTTTTTTTTGTTTTTAAGATGACCTTTTGGTCGTGTTTTGTTTTATTGTACTAGGACAGTTATTGTACATATTTGAAGAATATATTTAGTCATATCTGTGCCTTTTGAGCATCTATTTAAATAGTCTGTCTATTTTTAGGTTTTATACTATTTGCTGTATCTGCAACCCAACTAGGGGGTTATCCATTTAAACCCTCTGTGCTTATGTACTTCAAGGCCTGTATCAATTAGTATTCTTTTTTTAGTTCTTAAAACTAGTCTCACAGGTATATGTTTCAAATAACTGACTTAAAACTACTTTATTCTTGAGGTAAATTTGGCAGAGTTTGCAATATTTCCACTTTATACCACATCTAACCTGTGCTTTAGTTTGGTACATACGGACCGTAGCCTACTACTTGTAGCTTAGTTTTATCTATTCTGAGAGTGTGGGTAATGCCGAGTTAAGGTTCTTGTCTACAGTTTTTTTCTAGCTTTAACATATCTAGATTTAACCCTAGTTTGGCTGAACTTCACTATCCAAATCTACTTCTGCCTTTGTAGAGTTCACTTAAACCTCAAAACTTACTTCACAGTATATTTCTAGTACTTTAATAATCCAGCTCCCTTTATCCAGACTACCAATTCAGATGGCCTGGTATGTAATCACTTATTTTTCTCTGATTCGATAATGGTCTAGTTGGTGTTGGCAATTTTACCTATTTGTTGATAGCAGAGGCCCCAACTCTAGTTCTTAACTTCCAAGCTAGATAGCCTAATAACTATATTCTTTTTTTAGCATCTAGGCAAGTATCTACTAAAAGTAGCTAATAGATCTTCTACTATTGCCATGACTTGTCTGCAATTGCAGAGGCTTTCTAGCTAGATTTCTGGTTTTCTTTTCTATTTGCAGTGGTCTGGTTGATATGAGCGCAACCCTAATATCCAGTATTTTGTTTAGTTCAGTTCATATGAGTTCCATTTTCTGGGTCTAACCTTTACAGTAGCTCTATCAAATATCTGTGTTACCTCTTTACTCAGAACTTGCCAAGTAGACTTCTGTATTTGCAGTTCTTCAAATTTATACAGTCCAAAGCTTATCTTGTATTTGTACTGCCCTATTATTAGTTTGTATTTCTTTATATAATATTATGTCATATGAATGTCACAGACCTTCCAGTCTTGCTAGTATGACCGTAGTTACAGGTATTCTATCTTAACTGATATAGTTAGCTAGAATACAAACAGAATTTTTAAATTTTCATCATTAGTGAGATTCGAACTCTTAATCTGCCACTTGGGGTAATAGCTTGACTACTTCACTATGTTGCTACACCCAATATAAAAAATTTTATAGCCTGTTTTGTAAAAAAAACTATAGTATATATTAATAATATCAATATATATAGTAAAAACATTTAAACAATATATAGAGGATATAAAAAAAGTATTTAATCTAATCAAAGATGCAAATTTACAAATCAACTTAGAAAAATATTATTTTAAAACCAAATATTTAAAATTTTTAGAACATATAGTAAGCAATAAAAGAATCAAATCAGATTCACAAAAAGTAGAAAAGTTTATCAAATTAATATTTCTAAAAATATAACTAATATATTTTACAACTAAAGATTTATAAAAAACTTCTTTAAAACAACTAAATCATTATTCAAATTATTACAAAAAGATATAAAATTTAATTAGATTAAAAATTGAATTATAGCTACACCAATATTATAGTATCTTAATTATAATCAACTATTTCTATTATTTCTTATCTAAGATTAAAAGCAGTATTATTGTAAATTAAAGAAGATAAAGAATATATTATTGTATATACAAGCAAAATATTATTACTAGTAGAGAAAATTATAGTACAGTTGAGTTTGAATACTTAGCTATTGTTTAGATAATAAAATATTTTAGATATTATATTTATGAATTGAGATTTATGCTTATAATCAGTGTTGTATATTTTGACTATCCAAAAGCTTTTTTGGTACTGTCTAATATCTAAGTATCCAAGTATTCACAAGTGTTCAGAGCATATTCAAGCTTTAATAATTAATAAATTTGTTTAAAAATATAAGATTATATATTTTTTTATATGCTGAACATATTTTATTTAGAAATTAATATAGATTATCTTAATAAAATTTTGAGTAATTTTAATTTATTTAATTGTCTAAAATTGTCTAAAGTATTTAAATTTACTGTCCACAACTGTCTTGTGACAATACTGCTTATAACAAGTTATTTTTTTTTTTAGAATCAAAGCTAGCTCTTTGGTTTAATGTTTTTATTAGATATACTAGAGATCACTGGTTGCTACAAAAGGGCCCCAGACATAGTATATTTCGACGAGAATACATATAGATATATATATAACTTTAGTTATTACCTATTTAAAAGCTTCACTATATTACTATAATTACTCTCCATATACTATATCTAAGATTCACTTGTAGATCTCTTATTTAAACTATACTTGTTGGCAAAACTATAAATCTTAAAAATCCCACCCAAACCCAAATTCTATATAGACAAATCCCAAATCCCAAACTGAAAAAATCCCATATAAACTATCATAATCCCAAACTCTGGTCAAATTCCATCTCATCCCAAATCCTATCCCAAATCCCAAATTCCATTTTATCCCAAATCTCAAATCCTATCCCAAATTCTAAAATCTCATCCCAAATTCCAAAATCCCATCACATCTCAAATCCAAATCATATACTCAATTATATTTATTATTAATGGGTATCCATTAGCCCTCTGTACTAAATTTAGTACAAATTAAAAAAATTATTTTACAATAATAAATTATTATTTTTATTTCAAACTTTGCTAAAATATTCTTTA